ACACACATACACACACATCAACACATCAACACATACACACACCAACACCAACACACACATACACATATACACACACATCAACACACACACACAACATACACACATATGTATATATATGTATATATATATATATATATATATATATATATATATATATATATATATATATATATATATATATATATATATATATAACTTTCAGGGCTATCCAATTATAATACGTTTCGCATCAGCGGTTGTAACTCAAATAATGAAGTGCATGATCACATACCTTTTACACTCTACCAGCAATAACTATCTAAACTATCACATATCCTCTATCTTTCACCTCTATGCTGTGCCCCCCCCCCATACGACCCAAAATTTCCCGCAGTATCCCCTGCCTTACCCCGCTCTCCCCACCGCCTAACGCAGGTTGATCCCCTACGGTGCCTCCACGCCTCCACTCACGGCTAATCCAATCCACTGAGGGATCTATCTAAACACACACTGCGATACAAACCCGCGGCCCGCACTACAAACCCGCGGCCCGCACAAACACATAATGTCAACAATAATTCAAGAACAAATACCCCAACTCTAATCTCATTTTGCTGGGTAGCCCCTTCTCCCACCATCCCCACCACCACCTTTGCGGTGCCCGTATTTCCGGATGTATGTGCGCACATAAATTGACTGAAAGAAGTATCGCTTCGTGTTTAAACTGAGGTATCATGGGTACCCTGGGATATCCACGCCCAGCGCGCGGGGCGACCGTCACCAAACGTAACCCAACCCCCAGTATTGGCGCTAGAAGCGGCACCAAAAGCGAGAAAATTCAGCAAACATTGCCCGTATCTAAGACCAACAGCGCCCAGCGCGGCCCACGGTTGTATGCGTGCACCGGACAGTCCAGATGTACGGTGTCGATCTACGAAAACATCCCGGGACGCTTTTCACGGAGCACGCGCAAAGTGACGCTAAACCGACAGAAATGGTGTCAGGTGGCAGTAGAAAGTGCTCGCTAATTTATTTTCAAATACAAAGAACAAAGTTGCTACAGGCCTGTGTCCCAACGCCAGAACGAGGCCCGGATGAAATGTTGCAGATCCGAGTTTGTGCAGACAACAGACACGCACTCGGGTTTCCATTTTTGGGTGTGTGACTCCGTGACGTAGAACACAGATCTAGCGCCCCGTGACGCGGTGCGCATATTTAGTATAGACCGATACACGCATACAACGAAAGCAGGACACAATTTTTTTCGGCATACATTTGTTTTGGGCTTTTGATAGTCATGTGATCACACCCGAACATCCGGTCAGACTTGTTACAAACTCATCCTCCATTGGCTGGAAATGTGAACCATATCGGTCGAAGTCACGATTAGGTAGCGTCACAAATTTTTCTATGAAAGCTAGTCAGGACAATGTCACCTTCAGACTAAGGTTATGGGCAGGTCATTATCGGAGTCATCATTTATTCCCTTCAAAGAAATATTTTGTATAAAAAGTGGGAGTGATCTCCCCTAAACTTTCTCTCACATTCTTATAGAACAGTAGGGGTTGGGGTGGCACTTCCAGTGGAATCTGGCTATAGAAATATAGAAAAACAACTGCTCGTTTTTCGAGAAAACACAGAATCTAAAAGTTATTAGAATAAGCTTTACGTGAATATGTTTTAAAATTATCCAATTCCGAAGGTTTTTTAAGAAATCGGAAATGGAGTAAAATAACCCGTTAGTTACCCGAAATCTCTCAAAGATGAAAGAAATATACGCATGGGAGCTAATATATACACATGAAATTTCATCCACCTAACTGAAACGGTAATTAGGTTATCGGAATTCTAGAAACCGGAAAGAAAGTACCACTCCCGGAAATCATGTTCCTACGAACATTGAGTTACCGAAAATCATTTAAACCTGCGCATACAATACTTGCATATGGACTTTCGTCAACCTAGCTTCAACGGTATCCAAGTTATCGGCTTTCGAAAAAAACGGAACTAGAGTAAGCATCATTTCCGATGACCGGAAATCGCTCAAAAGTTAACAGAAAACTACATTATATAATACTTATAAATTTGTATTATTTTTTGTCCACTTAACTGATATTGTACTCAAATTATTGTGTTTTACAGTCAGCCTATAGATTCAAACTATAAAAATAAGACATTAGGATGTTATGTATTTGGCATTAAGCTATATATATATATATATATATATATATATATATATATATATATATATATATATATATATATATATATATATATATATATATATTATACAACTATACTTTAGTTGTATAATGAAAATTATACTACCCCCCCCCCCCCCCCACCCCACCCACGCCGCCTTAAGCTATAGCACGTAGATACTGATGTTGAACGACGAGCCAACATTAAACCAGAAACATCGAACAGCACGATCTAGTCAGAAACTGTTGTACACAAGAAAAAACATTACATAATTATTAAAGAGAAACCAAAATTATTGAAGAGAAACACAACAATCAGTGAAGAGAAACACAACAATCAGTGAAGAGAAACACAACAATCAGTGAAGAGAAACACAACACAACAATCAGTGAAGAGAAACACAACAATACGTGAAGAGAAACACAACAATCAGTGAAGAGAAACACACCAATCAGTGAAGAGAAACACTAAAAAACACAACAGCGAACATGGCGCCGACATAATAATAAGATAAACAATTACAATAATTGGTTCATATTTTATTGATCATATTTTTCTACATGTGGTTTTATCACTCACACAATCTTCTTCCCACAATCAACTTCACACAATAAAATTCACACCGTTAAATCCACACAATCAAATTCACACAAGCAACTTCACCATCAACATCGTCACACACGTTCCCACAATCACACATACACCAAGCTATTGGTCCAATACACAATATAATTCATCATCGACCACTCACCTAACAAATTCACAATTAAATACAAGTTTGTGTCTGTTTGCAGCCATTAAAGATAAAAATCAATATAAAAAAATCAATCAATACAAAAAAATAGCATTATCACATGTGGTTTTACGCCTTGATTGGAGGCGGTGATATGTGGCGGGAGTCACGTGGCGTTTGAGCGCTTCATCGCAATACTCAATACAATATTAATCCGCTAAATCCCCTACAACTACAATATCCATCCGCTAAGTGTCTTGCAACTAAAATATCAATCCGCTAAAACTCTTACAATATCAATCAGCAGAATGCATTACATTTGCAATAATAATCCGCTGAATATTTGACCTCTACAATTATATTCTACAAGAGTTTTATAATTACAACACTGCTCCCCCGAACCTATACAACAATTAAAATAATGCGCAACGATTCGGACCAACGTGAGCCGACTGTCAGATGTGAGTTGAGTTAAAATTACCAAAAGTTTCGGGCCGACATAGCTATTATGCAGATGTTAATGAAATTCGACCTCAGTTTTTTCTTCGCACGTCGCAATGTAAGTTGAACTGCATATAAATCTCGATAGATTTTTGAGTTTGTAAAAAAACTTGAGCTAAATCTGATACCTCCTGGAGCTAAGCCGCTTATGACTTGCGGTAGGCGCCCCCCAGCCCCACCCCACGCCCCGATCGCAGCCGACGCCCCGTGCCCGTAAATATTTTTATTCCAACTTGAGGTGAAAAAAATAATTACTTTTCTTCCCAGTGTTCGCGTGATTCAATTTGTGTTAAATTGTTTTTTACGGGAGCCACGTGACTGTGCGTGTTGGACAACTAGGGATTAACATGAGATTAACTGCAGATTAGAGCTGTATTAGCTGTTTGAGCCAGAATAGGGGATTAACATACCATGAAGTAAATAGATTTTTATTACATTTTTAATTAACTCGAATACAACGGTCGTAACTTCACTGCACTCGATTACATCGTCAATCAATTTACTGAACTCGATTACAACGTCAGTCAATTTGCTTTGCTAAAATGCAACAAGAATTAACATCCGCTTATAGTGGTTTCTTGCCGACGAAATTTGAAGACATCATTACCGTACAAGGAAAATATTTGAGCCCTAAGTCAGGCACCAGATATATCTTTTTACACAGGTCTATCTGTTTTATTATGACATCAGATGGCTATAAATAAAGTTGAAAATGACGACAATAACAACCCTTATGACATTGTATGTACAAAGTGAACACCGTTTCTGATAGCTGTGGGCTCAGGTGCTATATAAGTAGGACATTACATTGGTTTGGTTTCATTCTATTCTTTAACAGTAACGTTTCCAACACAAATCAACTACCTCTAGTATAAACATGTTGAACAACGAATGATATTTATCTAGCCGGTAACACAAGACGATGGTGTTCTAATGTTTTTGGTTGACCTAGGATGTTGGGTGCTGAATGGTCGAACTGTTGAGTTGGCGTCGGCTGTTGGTGAAATTGTGTAGGTGATGATGTCGAACTATCCTATTGCCGGGTTGGCGTGGGATAATTCTGGTAAACAGTACATAGAATTAAAGCAGTGGTGTGTTGGTGGTGTGTTGGTGGAGTGTCGGTGGTGTGTTGGTGGTGTGTTGGTGGTGTGTTGGTGGTGTGTTGGTGGCGTGTGTGTGTGTGTGTTGATGGTCTACTAAAAAAGGTACATATTTGTTGTTGCTACAAAATATTTTTAGACCCTAACGTTTCTACCAAGGGCCACAACTTGTAGAAAAATCATTTGATAAAGGGCCACAACTTGCACACCAACTTTTGACCGAAGATGTTTAGGACTCAGACGGAAGAAGGTATCGATGTGTGGTATTGCAAACTTGCTATTATGAAATAAATGTATGTATCGATACGCTCGGTATCTTGGTCCAGCAGTATCGAACATTAGTGCGATGTAGGTATTCGAGTTCATGTAAAAGTTTGGTCCATTGCTATTTGCTATGGGTTGAAGTGGGGGGGGGGGGGGGCTATACCGGAGGGCTGGCCCGAGGTAGCGACCCGGGCAGGTATGGGGCGTGGTGGTTAATTACA